CCGTCTTTGAGATGATGACTTGAGCAATGAAGAATATGAAATAAATCACTGGAATGAATGATATAGTGACAACATGTCAAGTTTAGACTAGCAGCTTTCTGCTTCTTGGAAATATCTAAATAGGACTGGACATTTATATGAAATATGGAGAGATGTGTGGTTCCATTAGACAGAGTAAATGCATATAAACTATCTTCCTTTCTGTCAGTGCATCCCACTGCCTGAGGTTTAAAAAAAAAAAAAAAAAAAAAAGTCTTACTGAGTAATTTCCCATTATGAGGCTTGGAATAGGGGCCTTTCTTGGAGACAAGATGCTGGGTGTGAGATGGATGATTAGTCAGATCCAGTCAGGCAGGTCTTATTTCTTATGGTGACATGAGTGCCATGTTCTGCAAGTTAGAGATTAAATTGCCCTGTGTGCAATGTAAGTGTAGGACAAGCTTTCCCACCTTTTCTTTTTTTCTTCAGCAAGTTAAAGGCAGAAGAGTGTGCTAGGTCTCAGATCCTGGCCTGTATATTTATGGGGTTCAATCATACCTCCAAGTGTCTGGTGTTGGTGGTGAAGTCTCCATACATTTGGGGGACATTGTTATTTTCTTGACCCCAGCATCAATGCTGGGAAACCACAGTGAGAATATCCAGAACTCATTAGGCCTTATGAGATTTGGCAGGTGATTACCAGGATTAGACAGGCTTTAGGCTGTTGCTTTTGGCCATTTCTCTGATTACAGGCTAACAAACTGCTTTATCTCCCTAAGCCCTTTTATTAGGGGAGAGCCCAGAGGCAGAAGGAAAGGAAATGCAGCGAGGGAGGAAGTGGTACAACAGAGGGAGCAAGAGGCAGGGACACCACCCGAGGTGGTGGCAAGGGCTTCTCCAAGTCAGTGGATCCATCACCTTGTTCCCTGGGTTCAGAGAGGCTTGGGGAGAGCAAGCGCAGCCCTGTTCAGGCCAGTGTTGTGTTGATAGTTTTAGAGGCAATAGTGGTAACAATTTGGGGATTTTTGTCAGCTTTCTTGCAAAGGAAAACCAAGAACATGAGAGTAATGGAGGACACTCAGGGCTGGGGGAGCTGTCTTCCTCCCCATCATGTCTAACAGTGCTTCCAGACATCCTTCCAGGCTTTTCCCTGCCTCTCCCAGGGACCATTAATCTATTACCTCCAACTAGCACAAACGCTTAAGTTGCTAGACAGGGAGAGTTAATGCTTCCACCTTCAGCTGAGCTTGTTGCAGGCTTCCAGTTTTCTCTCAAGTGATTGTCGGCATCACTTGCTGCTCACTGGCAGGTCCAGCTGTGCAGGCAGAGCCTGACCCTTCCAGGCAAGGGGGAAGCAGGGAGGCAGTAATGTGTGCATGGAGAGGCTGCTTGGCTCCCTGGCCTGTAGCCACCATAGCCGCTGTTCACATTCAAGCAAGAGGAGACTTGTTGTCTTCCTCTCCTCCATATCAAATCAGAAAGGAAAAAAACAGCAGAAGTGGGTGATAGGTAAAAGAAGCAAAAACACTCCCTGTGGTGTGTGGCACTGGGGGAATAAGGTGATGCTGCAGCCGATGACTCCTTACCTGCTGCTGAAGGGCTCAGGAGTTGGGGCATTGGAGACTGGGTACTCATTCATCCCAAATTAAGAGTCCTGCCTGCCTTGATGTTGATTTGGATGCTTTTTACTAGGTCTTCTCTGGGTGAGTATGTGTTGCTGTCAGGGATTTCTGGGCATCTGGGGGTTTACCTCAGTTGTCTGCAAGTTCACACTTCAGTGCTTCATATCTAAGACTTAACCGCTGGGTCTGCCCCAGAGCATGGAGCAGCAGCTCGCATATTGCTTTCCAGTGGTGAGCTCATTTGGCTACTGGCGAGCATCAGACACCTCAGCTTGGATGTGCTCTGAGCCTTTGAATGTAGCAGATGCTGCTGGGATGCTGGGAGCTCCCAGGGCTAATCAAAGGTGAAATCCAGTTTTGCTTCTGCCGGGACTGTCCAGCTGTGATAGTCTGGATGGGCGAATGCAGGGACTAGAGGAAGGCTTTAAAAAGTCTCCCTGAGTGGCAGAACCTGTTTCAACAAGGGACAGTTGCTTTAAATCCTGAGGAGGACTTAAAGCCTTTTTTAACCACTGACTCTTTGGTAGTCTTGGTAGTCTCCAGCTTAGTCCTACAGAAAGAACTTAGCTCCTGTTTTGGAAAGGATGGGGGAAACCCGAGCACAGCCTAAAAGGAGTAACCAATTCCCTTTGCTTCCTGGTGCAAAGCTGAGGTCTGCTGGGAGGCAGATTTGGATGAGGTGGTAGCTGTGACACTCGAAGCAGTGTGTTGGAAGAGCAAAGGTCTCCTGTCTGCCTTGCAGCTTGGTTTATGAGTCTAGGTACTGGCTACAGCCACATGACTCTGGCTGTGTCCACCCCAGAGCTGAAATAAAGCTGCTTGGTGCAATAAGGCAGCCTGCCCAAATTAAGTTTGGGGAGAAATGCATCAGGTAAGACATGCAGAAAGCACTTTTACTTGCCAAGAAGCAACCCTTTCTTGCTAATCTTGGCTAACCAAGGGAGAGGATTTTTGATTATTATTGCAAAAATTCATAGTGTGTCATTTACCAAACTGCAGGCTAGCTCTTTATGTCAATGTATGTAGCTGCAGCTGTGTTAAGCAACAGGAGCTAACATCTGGCTTGCTGGTCTGCAGTGGTGCTTCGCTCAGCTGGCAGACAAGTCAGCCTTAGTGATGGAGGGGACATGCTGTTCTCAGGGAGTTCATCCATGCTGTGATGGCCATGTAACTTGCAGAGGCATTTCCATGCTGCTGTTCACTTTACTTTTCTAAAGAACTATGGGAGAATGGTTGAAAATGAGATTGAGCAACTAATTTTGAAAGCTCTTTCTTTTTAAGATACTTCTTTTGCTTTTGCAAGCAAGCATAACTGATAGAAATATTGGTCCCTGTTTGAACACTCCTGGGCAGTCGCCTGTGCTCTGTGCTGGTGCTTCCTAGTCTTCCAGCACCACCTACAGTCACCAGCAAATGGGAGAAGATGCTCTGATGATACCAGCCTGTAGGTGCAAGGAAGTCCCTGAGCCAGGGCCATAAATGCTTGCAGTCCTGGGGTTCTTACTGCTTTGGTGCAGATGGGTGCAGCCTGGTGGGGAGAGTGGTACAGCTGGTGAGCTGCTTAGACAGACAGGCTTGGCTGCATGTGCATCGTGGGGCTTTTGGCAGAAGTTGTGGCTGCTGCTCTAACACAAGAAGCGCTGCCAAGGCCTTATTTCCTATTGGCCAAGCGTCTTTCAGCAGCAAGAAATTACAAGAGAAACCAGAAACCAGTGATCTGCTGCTTGACCTTCATTGCTCTTTGCAGCCAGCAGCCCAAAGGAAATGCAGCTTGGAGGTGGGGGGGGATGCAGAACTGCCCCACGGTTCTCATCTGATCCGTACTCCGCTGGTACAAGCACGCTCATGCTCCCCTCTCCCAGTGCAGCACAGTTTGCCCTGGAGCTCGTGCCACTGCACGGGGGGTTGAGCCTGGGGTTGCTGCTGCTCTTCAGCTGCTTGGTGTGTGTCAGGGAGGCGCAAGACACAGAGGGGCTGACAGGTGGAAGGTGGCTTTGTGAGCGCGGGCAGCACGCCAGCTGCTGCTCCAGGGACTGGGGGCCGTTCCTGAGGGTCTCCTGGTGGTGTGGTGAGCTCCTGGCGCGGGGCCCGGGGCAGGGAGGCAAGCAGGCCAGCCCCAGACAAAGGCGCCCTTCAGCACGTGGCGCCGCGCTGCCGGTGTGCACGGTGAAACTCGAGCCGCTCGCAGGAGGCCTGCGCCCTGGGTCCTGCCGCAGCCCTGCACGGCAGCGCCCGCGCCACCAACTCGCCTGGGCCAGCATGGTGAGTGGCACCTTCATCCTTTACTGCTGTGGGGCTCCCAGGCTGCATCCTGGGTTACCTTGCAGTAGGTTTGTTTTTCCTTTTCTCTCCTTCCTTCCTTCTTCTCCAGAGTCTGGCCCAGAGCCCTGCTGGAGAGCTTCCCCACAGCCCGGCGCAGGGCAGGGATGCTGTGCAGAGCTGCAAGAGCCAGCCAGCAGAGCTGGAGAGAGGAATAAGGACGACCCGGGTCCCTGCAGGATGTGGTGAGCCATTTATGGGCTTGGGAGGGGAAGGATCCCTTGTTTTAGCCTCCTGCAGGACCTGTGGATGTAGCTCATGTCCTCACAGAGGCAGCAAACCCTTGTGCCAGGCTGCAGCCACCTGGTGGGGAGGGATTCCCTGGGCGAGATGCAAGACCAGGCTTATCCTTTCCCCTCTCTGTCCTGTAAAGGTTCTTCCAGCACAGTGCTCAGAAACCTCTGCGCTGCCCGGAGGCTGCTCCCAACGCTCGTGATGGTCGGCCTGCTGGCAGGGACGGCAGCTGGGGCTTGGCTCCTAGGTCAGTGCCTTCCCCGTGACGGCCCCCCTAATGTGGCAGGGCTGGAGCTGAGAGCCTGAGCATGCACAGGTGCTGGTGACAGGGCTGCTTGCAATGGGCCTGGAGCTGCAGTGCGTGCAGGTGCACAGAAATTACATTGGCTCTGCTGCTCATTGTCACCCCAGCGAGGGGCATGTCCAGCCTTCTCGGTGGTGGTGCAGGCCAATGCCAAACCTGTGCACCTTGCTGGACTGTCCTGGCCATGCAATGCCACCTGTACCCTCTTCTCCCCCAAGTAAAACACCTGCAGCAGCCTCCGACAGACCCGGGCTTCACCCTACCGCAGGAACCGGGAGCCATCGCAGTGTGCAATGACAGTGACAAGGAGGAGCCTGTGGTGCCCCGAGCTCCTGGCACAGGTTTCTCCCTTCCCTCCTTGCATATCAGCCATGGAGGGGTGTGTGGAGAGCAGCATGCAGGGGACCTTAGCCAGGCACTCTGGATGTCATGGTGCAACGAAGCTGCCAGGCTTCAAGGAGGAGAACTTGCAGGCTCTCCTTAATAAAATGCCTTCAGTGTCTTTCAGAATAAACCCAGAGACCTCCTTGCTGGAAGTGCAGATGGAAAGCAGGCCCACCTGGCTCCTGGCATGCCATGAGCGGTGGGAGTTCTCCCTGGGGACGCGGCTCTGCCGGCAGCTCGGCTACCTCAGGTGCGTGGTGCTGCCAGGGGCTGAGGGCCCAGGCGATGGGAGCCTGGCAGCTGTGCTGTCACGCTGCAGGATGAGCCACCAGAAGGCGGTGAACGTGACAGACGTCCGGCTGGATGGCGCGCAGCAGTTCGCCCAGATAAGACCTGAGCAGGGCAGCCGTCTGCAAGACATGTGGCAGGTCAGGTAAGGGCAGCTCCAAGGAAGGCAGATGAGGAGGATGCGGTGCTGGCGCTGCCCATGAGCAGTCCCTTGGGGTTGGCTGAGGCATCTGTGCCGCTTCAGAGCGGGGGTTTTACCCATGCAGGAGTGCCTGCGAGTCAGGTTGGGTTGTGGCTCTGAAATGCTCAGGTAAGTGCCCGCTCCCCTGACGCTGGGGCCGGGGGCCCTGCGCTGCCCAGCGCTCCTGGCTCACGTGCCCGCGGGGTGGCCCGCAGAGTGCGGGCTGCGCCCTGGGGCCGCCCGCGTGCTCGGCGGGG